CCCCCCCCCCCCCCCCGCCCCAAGCATCCAAAACCATCTAATTAAGGTTGGATGTTGGCCATTACACATTGAATTGGGCCAATGAGTGATGATTTATGAACAAGTTCATGGCCTAGCAGTCCACAAATGAGAAACTGGATTCCAGGCTAGAACAAAAATTCAAATTTGAGAAGACACATAAAACTTAAAATAGTATCACTTAATTTCTAGTACGGGAGCATAACAGTACTGTTTTGCTTTCACTGCATTCTCCTGGAGAAAAACTGCTATGGAACACAAAAGGAAGTGATGGCACAACCCCCTTTTAAGAAAATAGAGTAGCTTAAATAATAAGGCTCAATGTTAGCAACGGGATGATTTTCAAAACTGCAATCCAACATTAAACAACAGGGCACAATTCGACAGCATTGTATGAGGATAAATAAAGAAGAGAAAACAGACTAAGAAAAAGAGCAAAGAACCTGGATAAATCCAAGTTTTGGCTGCCTCCAAATCAAGTGGAACGAAGCAAACCCTGTCATGCTCCTCATTACCAAACTCCTCTTTTCTGACTCCAACGCCGTTTGGATTGTGGGGTTCGGTTTCGGCATTCTTAGCCTTAGGCGGAAATCCCATAAACATATCAAGAGTCGACTGCTTCCCAGACGCAAGGCCACAACCATTGGGGGTTTTGAGCGTTTTCCTATTTGGGATGGAAGTCGAAGTCGCAACTCCATCAGAAGACGAAGGGAATGCCCCGTTGACGGGAAGGGCGACGCCATTGGCCTCACAAGCCACATCGATCTCTCTCACAGCTGCGTCCCAGTCAAATTCCTGAATAATGAAAAAGTAAGATTTAGAGATAGAAATTGAAGTGTTTGGAGAAGAAAGAATGAGGGTTTCAAGAAACAGTTTACATCGTCGTCGTCGATAATCTCAAGAGCGGCGGCGGACGATGAGGCCATGGCGAACGGGAAATCTTGGGAAAATATATTCGGAATCTTCGTCTTCCCTCCCAGAAGGGGCGCCATTCCACGCAAGCGTTAAAATTTTGATTTTCTTCACAATACCCTTGAACCTTGATTTTGAAATGTATGAGTTTGAGTTTTGAAACTTGAAATCAAGTATTTTGAAGAAATTTAAAATTATGATTTAATTACTGATTAGTTGGGGTGAGTGGTTGTAGTGGTAGTTGGTGGCAGACGGAGAGAGATCAAATCTCTATATAAATATCTCTCAAATTCAGAAGATATATCTAAATTCTTTATTTTGAAAATTTGTGATATCTGATTATATCGAATTTAAATTATTTTTATATCACACCAAACCTAAAAAACTTGATATCAGGAGATATGAAAACTCATATCTTCTATAGTTCTACGCCCACTAAACGGGCTCTGAGAGCTTGTAACTTTCAACTTAATCTTATTACTTATTTGTATTAGAATTAGATCATATCAATTTAGAAACAACTTTGAGTATAACTACAATCAGATCATACCATACCAAATTAGATTAAATATATCTTTAAATATAACTATAATCAGATCAAACCTTATACCAATCATATCATGTAAAGAAAACGAGTCCTAATTTTGAATCGTTTTAATAAAAGGTGATTAAAATAATTAGTGAGTTTTCATATTTAGTCTCCAATTTTAAGATACTAGTCTTTCGTTTTAATAAATTGTGTAACACCCTAATCCGTCCAGGTCTACAACCCCTTTCGGACTAAAGTATAAACTTGGTATTCGTAAACATTTAAAAATATTTCAAACATCTAAAACTTTATTTCATAATAACTTATTTAAAATAATAACGGAGTATTTAAAGTCGCGGAAGCTCAATAAATCACAATTACAAATATAACAAATTCATGTCCTTTAAAACAGTAATTCAAATCCACACATCCATTCCGACCCTCTCGCTCCATCTGCCTCCAGAGATTCATCGGTTCATTCTTTTTGTTTACCTGCGTGTAGCAAATAAAACATACTACACGCTCAGCGTTGAAGCTGAGTAATCATATATAATGCATTGAACATCCATATAAATTGAATTTCAATTGATAATCAAATCATTTGATATCATGCACATAATGTTCAGTTTAGATAATCAATAATCGATATTCATTTTTTATTATTCATTATTCAACATTAATGTTCATACTCAACATTCATCATTAATATTCATCATTCATATATAACATTTGTCATTCAACAATATCTGTAAACTATTCTTAGTCTTAGGTCAATCTCTTTCATATTTATTAACCCTCAAACAAATTCTAGTTTAAGATATTTCTAACCAAGTCTTAAACTATATTCTAGTGTAAGATACTTTTATCCAATCCTCAATCTAGGACTAATTTAAGATAAAACTTACCTTTGCTTAAGGCCAACCAGAAACCAAACAGCGGAATGCTCACTATCGGGTTGGGTGGTATCCCCAAACGAGTGATCCTCAAATTTGGTTTGTAGATCCCGTACGTATGTTTTAACCCAGGCCACTGAATATTCAAAATTATACCCGCAAGGCCTATTTCTAAGCTATCTTAGAGGTCTTCTAGATAGTCTTAAAAACCAAAATCAATACATCTTAGAGTTCTTCTAGGTATCCTTAATAATCATTATCAATTCCAAATGGATATATCTTAAAGTTCTTCTAGATATCTTTAACAATACAAATCATTACATAATCATCAATGTATTCATTTTATTTATGGTTCAATCTTTAACAATCATTTTAATCAATAGATTCATCATTCATAATCATCCATAATAATCATTCATCATAGTTATCAATTAACATAACATCCAATAGCAAGTAGCGGCCTAGTTTCAAATGTTAACACTCTACTTTACCTTCATGCATCATATAAGGTTATTTGAATTGTTAAAACATCATTTTTATTTCTAGAAATCATTTCCATATTGATCATATTTGTTTGATGTCAAGAATACGTTTTAAAATAAGTTTTCTGCATGAAATAATCGATTAAACGGAGATGATGAATCAATTAATCGCTTATGTCTTCAAATGTTTCGGTGGAACAGAGAGATAATCGATTATGTAGGATACAATAATCGATTAATATCTATTAACCGGTTAAATCAGAATGCCTTAATCGATTAACATAATTTAATTTATTAATCAACTATGAATTAATCTATTAATCAACCATGAATTAATCTTTTAATCAACTATGAAATAATCTATTAATCAACATGAATTAATCTATTAATCGATTAAACAGAATGAGTTAATTGATTAATGTCTTCTGTTCATCGTCTTCTTATTCAGTCCATTTTCAAAAAATATCATTTTACTCACCACTTTAATTAAATTATATAGGAATGTTATCCAATGTTCAGAGATCATTTTAGAGTCATTAATTCATAGTTTTAACAACAATTTAATGGTTTATGATTCTTGGTTCTTCAAACATGTCAAACACAAAACTCAACCAAACTACCGTTTATGAACGTAGAAACAATCTATACAAACATTCTAGTCACTAGATATATCTACGGGCTTAACGGAGGTTTTAGATAATTTCCGGCGAAACTTCTGGTGAGGATTGTGGCTAGCTCCGGTGACGGGAAACTCTCTAGACAACACAACTTCACTCTCCACACTCAAGGCTCTCTTTTGGAAGAAGAATTGTGTAAAATGATGAACAATTGGAGAGTTTATATAGGAAAGAGGAGTGAGAAGAAGCCATGGAAGATGACCTCCTTAACATTGTTTTGGCGTCTCAGTGGAGCGACTGACGGATTCCTCCAATTCTAAACGCAAGTCCCTGATTGGGACTTGTTGTAATTCCTTGAATCTGACCCGTTACAACTCCGGATCCGGAGAGGTCCGAATCCGGAGAAGTCCGACTTTTGAGAAATTCGAATTCCAGAGAAGTCCGACTTCCGAGAAATCCGAATTCCGGAGAAGTCGAGAAATCCGAATCTCGAGAGATCCAAATCCTGATATGACCAAATGCCTTTCTAATTGGGCTTCTAATTATCTGTTAATTCTGTAGTTTGGGGCACAAGTCTGTTAGGGTTTAGCCAAGCACTATTTATATGGGTGCTACTACAAACCCTATGTTGTATTCTATTTTTTGCCTCTCCATCCAAAATAAAACTGCTCCCCCTCTCCCCCGTGGACTAGCCAACACAACGTTGGTGAACCATGTTAAATCTATTGTCGTGCTTTTCTCGTTTATATTTGTCATTCTCGATTTCCGTATAACAAACTGGTATCAGAGCCTTCAGGTTAATCGGTGTTCTTGGAGAATTTCGAGATGTCTGCTTTGAACGTGAAAATCGACAAATTCACAAGGAGGAACAGTTTCAGTTTATGGCAGATCAAGATGCGGGCTTTGTTGAAACAACAAGGCTTCTGGGTGCCTTTGTCGAAAGACAAAAACGCCGTTGCTACTTCCGAGATGGCGACTCTGGAAGAGAAGGCGCACTCGACGATCATGCTGTGTCTATTAGATGACGTTATCACGGAGGTCTCAGATGAGGAGACTGCTGCTGGCTTGTGGTTAAAGTTGGAGAGTCTTTACATGACGAAATCTTTAACCAACAAGCTACTTCTGAATCAACGTCTATTCGGTTTACGAATGGCTGAAGGTACACCACTCAAGGAACATTTAGAGCAATTAAATACTTTTTTATTAGAATTGCGTAATATCGATGTGAAGATCGAGGATGAAGATGCTGCCCTGATTCTGTTGGTATCTCTCCCAATATCGTTTGAGAATTTTGTTCAATCGTTCATTGTTAGGAAAGATATTGTGTCTCTCGAAGAAGTTAGATCGGCCCTTCATAACAGGGAATTGCGGCATAAGGCTAACGGCACGAGTACAGATGTACAACCTTCTGGCCTATTCACCAGTACCGGAAAGGGAAAGAAATACGGCGGAAAGAAGAAGGAGAGAAATCCGAAAAAGGGGCATTGGAAGTTTGATTGTCCAAAGAAGAAGAAGAAGAAATCCGAAAAAGACATTGCCTTAGTTGCTGATGAAAGTACTCATCACTCAGATGTGTGGGTTCTAGATTCTGGGGCATCCTACCATATCTGTCCAAGGAGAGAGTGGTTCACGACCTATGAGCAGGTAGATGGAGGGAGCATCTCGATGGCCAACAATTCTGTCTACATGGTGGTTGAGACAGGCTCGATCAAGATAAGGATAAATGATGGTAGCTTATGCATATTGAACGAGGTCAGGCACGTACCATTGATGACAAAGAACCTGATATCTCTGTCTTTTAGACAGCAAGGGGTTCAGTTGGCATGGAAAAGATGGAGTTTTGCGCATCTGGAAGGGTTCAAATCTAATTCTGAAAGGTGTCATGCGGGGTACTTTGTATTTTCTACAAGGTTCCACGGTTATAGGTTCAGTCCATATTGCATCATCAGAAGTTAAAGAGGAAGATATGACCAAGTTGTGGCACATGAGACTTGGTCATATGGGTGAAAAAGGGATGCAAATTCTGTCAAAGGAGGATCTTCTTGCTGGTCATAAGGTAAAGAGCCTAGAGTTCTGTGAACATTGTGTTTTTGGAAAATTACATCGTAACAAGTTTCCAAAGGCCATTCATAGAACAAAAGGCACACTTGATTACATCCATTCTGATTGCTGGGGTCCATGCCGAGTTGAGTCTTTGGGAGGATGCAGATTTTTTGTGTCAATTATTGATGATTACTCAAGGATGACTTGGGTGTACATGATGAAGCATAAAAGTGAAGCTCTCCAGAAGTTCAAGAAGTGGAAAACATTGATGGAAAATCAAACAGGGAAAAAGATCAAGAGGTTGCGAACTAATAATGGGCTGGAATTTTGTTGGTTTGAATTTGATCAATTCTGTAAGGATGAAGGGATTGCTTGACATCGTACAGTCAGAAATACACTAGAACAGAACGGTGAAGCTGAGCGGATGAATCAAAAACTTCTGGAGAGAGAAAAGTGCATGCTCTCTAATGTTAGGCTAGATAGAAGGTTCTGGGCAGAAGCGATTAGTACAGCTTGCTACCTGACTACCCGTGGACCACATACAGGAATACAGTGCAAGACAC